TCGTCGTTCGTCGTCGTCGTCGTTTGTCGCTGCCCCTTGTCGCCGCCTCTCGGCGCCGCCGCCGCTCGTCGTCGCCGCCGCCGCTCCTCGTCGTCGTCGTCGTCGTCGTCGGCGGCGTCGGCGTTGGCGTCGTCGTCGGAATCGGTGTCGGCGCCTGCGTCGTTCCCGTCGTCGTCGCCGTCGTCGTTTCCGTCGCCGCCGTCGTCGTCGTCGTCGCCGCCGCCGCTGAACGTCGCCGCTCGTCGCCGGCGCCGCCGCCCTCTGTCGCGGGCTCGGGGGTGAAAGGGGGCCCCCTGCAAAATTGCAGACGGTGAAACACGAAGATGATGGCTTGCTTTTTCCTGGCGGCCTCGCGAGCGTCTTACCGCGCAGTGAACCATTGGCGCGACAGCGTCTGAGCAATGCCCCCGGCAAGGCCACTGCGGCTCTGGCACGCGCGCGCGGGCGAAGGAGCGGAATGGGGCGAAGAAGGTGTGGCCGCGGTCGAGCGTCTGGGTGGCCGCCAGCTTTCCCCGCTGCAGCTCTGCGAGCAGGTTGCGCCACTTCTGCCGACCAGAGTGGCTCGGCATCCGCCCGCCGCGCCTACGGCGGGCCCAGCGCGTCGCCGCAGACCGCGCGGACTCAATCACGTCACTGGTGAAACCGCGGGGGTTCTTGATCTCGCCCGCGGAGTGCACCGCCAGCTCGTGCTCGACGTCCGTCGCGGTCCACCCCTTGCCTCTCTTGAACGCCTTGAACGCGGACACCGTGGCCCCCCGGGAGTCGCTGACCAGGATGGCCCCTTTGCGCATGCCGAGCAGGCGGAGGCGGGTCAGCATCTCCTCGCGCCCGCGGGGCTTGCCGCCGAAGGCGTCGTTCGGGTGTCCAGAATGTGGGGGAACCAGATGTCGGGGCGACCCTGCACCGTTGCGCCCCGGTCCCAGACCTGGACTTTTTGCGGGCGGGCTGCTCTCTGGAGAGCGCCAGGATTCTTCCTGTCGCGGCGCGCCTCGTCCACGTGCGCCGCGAGCTTGAATTTGGAGACGTCGGCCTTCCCGGTCAGCGCGACTCTGGCCTTTTTCTTCTGTGCCGCCGCCTTCGCAATAAGATCGCCCCTCCTCTTGGCGAGCGAGCTCCCGCCGCGGGTCTCGACCGCCGCCGCTTTTTCGGCTTCTTGTGCGCTTTCGGCCAGAACCCAGATTTAGACATGATGCTTCTGAGCGCCGGAACCACCGCGCCCTGGAAGAGCGACGCCAAGCGGTCAAGCGTCTGGCACGTCACGCCCGACTCTCGCTTCATCAGCCGACGGGGGCAATCCATGACCCACATGACCATGGCGTCGGAGAACTTTTCCCGCGACGACCCCTGGGCGCCCTGCGAAATCGAGCCAGCAATCGTGGGCTGATGGCTCTTCGGCTTTCACGATGCGCATCCAGAGCCGTAATCGCAACAGCGCCATGCCCAAGTGCTCTTGTCCTGGCGGTAAGCGGGCTTGTAGTCGTCGCCGCCGCTTTCGGGGCACTAGTGCGACGTTGGCAAGAAGCCCATGACGTGCGAAAAGATGAAGACTAGTAAAAACGAGATGTTGGCCATGTCGCCCGCGTCGTTGACCTTCGCGCACTTGACGTTCCGCAAGTAGTCGCCCCTGCAGTTGAAGTCGATGTCTTTCAGCGAGGCGCGGTGCTCCTTCAAATTTAAGTACTCTGCCATTCCGACCGCCCCCGCGGTCGCGCAGCTGGACCCCTGGCAGCGGGGGGTTCGCCCCGTGCGCGGAAGCGCCCGCGAGCCACAACAACAGCGGCGCATGTGCGGCGCAAGCGTCGGCCGTCCCGCTCGCAACTGCGATGCGCGCGGCGAGAGCCAGCGACTGGGCGACGCGCGGGAGGGGGGGGGCGACGACGACGACGAGAACTGTTTCAACCAATCGGATCAAGGTACAGCGGCATGGCGTTCGCATTAGGGCCCTCGTTCCCATGCAGAGCCCAGGCTCCGCCTCAAAAAAGCAGCCGCGCGAGGTGCGCGCGCGCCCCAGGGGGCGCGCGCGTCGTGAAGAACATGACGGGTGAAGGGCTACGCAGCGCGCCGGCGGCTCATCTGGGGCACCAGCGGCGCGCGCCCCCTCGGAGGCGCGCGCCCCATCAGCGCCCGAGCCGAATGCGGCGACGCTGCCCGCGCTAGGGCACCCCACTCACACGACGCTTCAATCCGACGCGGCACCGCGCAAGCACGCGGAGCCCCCTTCCGCCTGCGCGCGGGCCTCCTCCGCTCGCTCGCGGCCCAGGGCGCCCTCGCGGTCTTGGAGGGGCGGGGGCGCGGCCTCCACGTCGAAGTCGTCGTCCTCCGCGGCAAGGGGCTGGCGGGAGGACAGGTGGCGTCGACCGGCGCGCCGGAGTCGCTCTGGTTCTTCTGGGGGAAATTCCGCTGCGTCGCTTCGTAGATGGCCTGCTCGTCGGCGCACGCCTGGTCGAGGTCGCCGCCGCGCCCCGCGGCGCCCCGGGCGCCCGTCGCCATGCGCTTGCGAGGAGGCGACATCAAGTGCACCTGCTCGCCGCTGACCTTCGCGCTCCCCTGCCAGATGTCTGGCTGAATTGCCGCGTGGGCCGCCTTCTGCTCGTCTTCGCCCGCGCCGTCGAGCAGGCTCGCGCGCCACCTGCCAGCGGCGGCGACTGCGTCTGGGGGGCCGCCTGAGGAAGATGCAACGGCGCCCATCAAGCGAGGGCCGCACTCGTCGCAGCCCTTTCTCGGCGAGGACGGCGCGGGAGCAGCGAGGGCGAGGCCCGCGCCCGCGACGGTCGGCGCGGTCGGCGCGTCTTCGTTCTCCCAGAGGCGCGTCAAGTAGTTCATCGACAATTTGACGTCCTCCTCGAAATGATCGGGGGTGGACGGGCTTGGTCGGGTTTGTCTTGTACTTGCCGAGCGCCCCCATGCACTTCTGGTTGAAGGGGTCTGGCTTGTTCGGGTTTGTGCAGGTCCGCCAGGGCACGCTGCTTTCTTCCTCGCTTGCATGGCGGAAATGCACTCGCTTGTTCGTGACCAGCGCAAAGTGCGTCCGCGCAGCGACGGCCCGCAAGTCCCCGTCCTCCTTCACCTTCCGAAATAGCGGCCTTGCCAGCTGCGCGAAATCGTCGCTACTCACGTCCTTCGGCGCGCCCTGCTTCCACTGTGAGACGAGCTCGGCGTCGAACCTCTTGTCGCGCGCGTTTTTGCAGACCTGGCGGGGGCGCCCAGCGTCGAACTCGGGCGACTCCCACTTAGCCCAGATCGCAGCGTCTTCCTCGCTCGGGCTCAAGAGCTCTTCCAGGATGGGCGCCGCATGCTCAGACAACCCGCCGTCGTCGAAGAAGGCTGGCCTGGCGCGGGCCACGGGCTCAGCTTTGAAGAAGTAGAAAAACTTAGCGGTCGCGATCGTCGGGGCAAGCCCCGTTCCCCCCCACTTTCGCAACGGCGCCCCCGGTCTCCGGAACCCGACCCCTGCCATCCCTAACGCTAATCCTCACCCTTAACCTAACCCCGAACCCAGACCCTAGCCCAGAACTGTACTCACTACTCATTACGCACTACTCACTACCCACAAGTCACTACTCACTACTCACTACTCACTACTCCCGGCTCACTACTCACTACCCACGACTCACTACCCACGACGGACTACTCACTACTCCCTGCTCCCTACTCCCTGCTCGCTATTCACTACTCACTACCCACTACTCATACTCACTACTCACTAAAGACAACTCACTACCCACTGCTCACTAATCACAAACCACTACTTACTCTTCACTAGCCACGATCCATTACTCACTGCTCACACTTCACCACTCACTACTCACTGCCCACAACTCACTACGCATTATCCACTACTCGCTACTCGCTACTCCCCACTCCGTACTCACTACCAACTACTCACTACTCGGTACTCCCTACGCCCTACTCGCTACCCGATACGCACTATCCACTACCCAGTACTCACTACTCACTACGCTCCACTACTCACTACTCACTTCTACCTAATCCCTACTCACTACTCCCCACTCAATACTACTCACAACTCACCTCACTACTCGCTACGCACTACTCCCTACTCACTACTCACTAGTGACTCCTGACTACTCCCTCCTCACTACTCACTACTCGCAACGCCCTACTCGCTACTCACTACTCACTACTCGCTACTCCCTACTCGCTTCCCCTACTCGCTACTCACCACTCACTACTCACTACTCTCTACTCACTGCACAGTACTCACTACTCACTACTCACTCCTCGCTATTCGCTACTGTCTAGTCCCTCACCCCTACTCCCTGCTTACTACTCACTATGCACTACCCACTATACACTACTCGCTCCTCCCTACTCACTACTCACAATTTCTTACTCACTATTTCGTTCCCGCTACTCACTACCTAATGCTCACTAGTCACTATTCACTAATCTCTACGTGCTACTCACTACTACCACTACCCATTACCCACTATTCACTACTCACGACTCACTGCGCAGTAGCCACTATCAAATAACCACTACTCACCAATCGCTACTCAAAACACTTTACTCCCTACTTGCTACCCGAGAGGCCCCTTCCCCAGCCCCCTTGTTCGGTGCAGAAGGGGGGAAGGGGGGGGGGAGGGTCGAACCCCCCCCCCTTTCCAGCGCCAAGGGGGGGAGGGGGGGGAGGGGTGCGGACCCCCCCCCCAAGGAGGGGGGGGGGTCGAAAATCTCACCCCTCTTTTGAAGGGGGGGAGGGGTGGGGATTCTGCGAACACCCCCCCTTTTGTGTATTCAGGGCCATCCACTAGCGCGCTTTCCATTATTCAGGCACGTCGGGACGTTTCGCCCCTGCTGGAACGACGGTAGCGATGCCTTCAACGACATCGACGGCAGACGTGGAACCAGAATGCACTCAAACTCGGTCACCTGACCCCTCCTGATGAGCGACGATAGGGGGGGAGACCGGCATAGGGAAGGATGCATCGACCTGGAATCGCCGATACATCGGCGATATGGCCCCGATAGTGAGCCTGCACCTTCCTGGGCAGCTGAGGGCTATCGGGACCCTGTCGGCGACCCATCCCCCCCTGTCGTTGCCCCTGAAGCCTCCCCGTTCCTCGAGCCGCGCCCCGCCGTGCCGACGAAGCTCTCCAGAACGAGCAACAAAAACATCAGACACGTGAAGGCGCTGCGGCGCCGCCGCCGCCGTCGACCACGAGACGACGCAGCAACGGCGACGGGCCTCCTCGAATGGCGACCTCCACAAGGCCTGTCCTGGGCGGAATGACTTCCGAGGAGGAGTCCCGCCGTGGCCACGAGAAGTCTCCCGGAGTTAGGTCGGGCATGTCCTCCTAAAGGCGGCTTGTGGAAGCAATGAAACGTAGCCAAAACATACCCAAACATAGTCGAACAGTAGTGGGGAAGTCGCCCCCTGACTATTTTTCGACTACTTTTGAGTAGTCTTCCTGTAGAGGGACATGCCCGACTTAACCCTAAAGGCTCAGGAAGGCCGAACTTCGCCCCAGAATGTGGAGCCCCGAGGCTGGTCGACGACGACAAAACCTAAGGCAACTGTCTTCGCGCTCTTCGCGCTCCGCGAAAAGTCGCGATTGACTTGGCGCTTGCGCGCCGCCCCCGCCTCTGGAACAGGCTGAGGGTTATGCTGCTCCCATCGTACTTGAGGACCACATCCCAGAAATAGCTTCGAGCACCCTGAAAAATATCGAAACAGAGTCGAATAAGCATCGCCTCCGAGGGCCGGACACGCAGAAACCCTCAAGCTTCGGTACCTTCTTGGTGCTCTAAATTCTCTCTGGTGGCCAGGGATTCAAATAAGTTGGAACACCATGAGACGAGGGCCTCGCGCCTCGCTCTGAGATCGCCCAGGCCGCGGAGCGCGACGCGCGACGAACTTCGCGCCCTCGTGGCCCCAGCGGCGCAGCGGCGAGGACGACCCTCGGCGGCGGCGGCGGGCGGCGGCGGCGCCGACGGTCGCCGATCCCGCGGCCGAAGCGACGAGTCGGCGGCCGCCTCATCCTCATCCCCATCTCCATCCTCCTCCTCCATCCTCCTCCTCCTCCTCCTCCTCCTCCTCCTCCTCCTCCTCCTCTGCTTCCTCCTCCGCATAAGCTTCCTCCGCCTACGCTTCCTCCAACTCCTCCTCCTCCTCCTCCTCCTCCTCCTCCTCCTCCGCCTCGCTTCCTCCTCCTCCTCCTCCTCCTCCTCCTCCGCTACGCTTCCTCCCCCTCCCCCTCCTCCTCCTCCTCCCCCCCCTGCGGCGGCGGCGGCGCGCGCGGCGGCGGCCGCGGCACTGGCCTCCGCCCGCAGACCTCGCCTGCGGCAGGGCCCCGCGGGCGCCGCGGCGGGCCTCCCCTGCCGCCGCTCGAGCGCCGAGCAACACAAAAACGATTCTCTCGGCGGTGGACAAGCCTTCCTTTAGTCAGCCTCCCTCTAGTGGAAACGGCCTGGGACCGAAACTGCGGGACCCGGACCTGCAAAAATGACGGCCGCGACGCCCTCTCGCGAACCGAAAACGGCCAATTCGCTAATCGACGGTTTAGGGCAGGAGGTCTGCCCACCCCCGAGAGTCTTGCGCGAGAGATGACACAGCGACCTTACGGCGGCTTGCGCGGGGCGCCAGCGCGGCACGCTGCGCGTAAGCGAGGGCGTCCACGCGCGACCCTGCGCGAGCAGCTTGCGCGCCAACGTCGGCACAAACGAACCCGTTTTCTGCGTCGCTCACTTGATACCACGGGATTCGCAAGTACAGTCAACCCGTATTGTAAGGATGCGCGATAAGGATGCAGGGGCCTTGGACGCCCACCTCGAAGCTTTTCGAGCGGGGGGGGTGGCCACCGAAAGTGGCCAAGGATGGACTGAGGAGGCAAGGATGCAAGGGTACCCTCGGGAAGGTTGCCCATCCTGACTGTGCGGGTTGTCTGTAACGGACCCCTAACCCTTTGGTAGGGAACCTGAGTGCGGAAGCCCGAGGCATGAGGCATACAGAGTTTCTTTCGCAGATGCACGAAAATGTACCACTCATTTTTTTGGCCCCAAATGCAAAAAAACGGGGATTCAAGTTAGGCTACGCCTTCAGTGTGTTGCTAGTGTTAGGGGTCCTATTTATTCTTGGCGGGTATGGGGTCCTGAAGCGCGGGCCCTGGAGGCAGTGGGGCCTTGGACAGTGCAGCCTCAGCCCGGAGGCCCCCTTCCCATCCTCGGGGAGCGATCCCTGAGGGCTTCGTCGATTCGAAGTCCCAGACACCCCAGGGCCGCGCTCGTCGGAGGCCTGGAGATGGTCGTCGCCTTCGTCGTCGATCGGGCAGGCAATCGGGTACGCCTGCCCGATGGGCGATCCGTTGTGGCAGACCTACCCATGGGCTACCCCATCGAGACTGATGTCTACGTCGTCGAAATCGTCGTCTCGTGGTCGCCGCCGTTGTCGAAACCAACGTCGTCGAGGATCCAAAAAGATCGACGTTTCTTTCTTGGGTGGGGCCCGTGAGGGGCATCCTGGGACCTCCCAGGACCTCTAGAGAGCTCCGGAGACATTTAGAAACCTCTGGTCGTCGTCTCCACCGCGGCCGTCGTCGTCGCCGGCAGGCGCCCATTGGCACCGCGGCGGCACTCGATCAGAACATACTGATGCACATTCTGCGATTGACGAGCAGAGGACGATTCGCATGCACAATCACGAACTGCGGCGTCCGCGTACCACGCCCACAAATCCGCACGCACAGTTCTGGAACATCGCACGCAGGTGCCATGAACTTGCTGCTCGCGCGCAGATCCGAACTTGGCGCACACACATCTGCATCCAAACCCGCGCGCACACACTGCGACACGAACCTCTCAAAGACACCGGTGCATGTGCGTGCACGCTGAACTTCGCTGACACGTCACGATTGCTCCCGCGCAAACTGCAATGCCAAGCCGCACCCCGTCGTCCTACACCGCGGCTGCGGAGCGTAATCGGCCAAAACTCGTGGTGTGGCCCACGTTGTCTCAGGTCTGGCAAGCTCTCCTCCCCTCTGGGGTCTGCGACTTTTTCTGACACCAGCCGCCCATTCCCACGCACACAGCTGAGGGTTCGGCCGTTCAAATCCCCCCTCTGGGCTACTCTCGGAGATCATGCTGGACAGTTCACCGAGCCGAATCTGGCGATGGCCCGACTGACGCGATCCCCTCGGCGGCAAACATTGAACAAACTCAGGCTTCTGCATCCACGATCGGGAGATGCAGGCGGAAGAGGAAAAGGAATTCGCCGGCCCAACGGGCCAGGGCGTGCTAAGATCTCCGGTAACTGGTTAACAGTATTAACAGTATTTCTAGTTCGCGCGCGCGGGGCGGCCCCTGGGGGTCCCCCGGCGAAAAGTACCCCGACCAACGCCCGACCGCCGCCCGACCGCCGCCCGACCGCCGCCCGACCACCGCCCGACCAAGTCTACTCAGAGATGGTTTTCCTTCTGGGTGCGGCCTCTCAGGCTCCCCAGAGCGCGCTCAGAGTGCCCCAAGAGGCCCCCAAGACTGCCCAAGAGGCCCCCGAGACGCCCAAAGAGCGCTCGAAGACGCCGAAGATGACCCCAAGACGGCCCAAAAGGCCCCCAAGACAGCCCAAGAGGCCTCCAAGACGCCCCAAGAGCCTTCCAAGAGGCCTCCGAAGAGAGCCCCAAGAGGCCAAAATCGTTGATTTTCATTGGTTTTTTCGATGTTTTTTGTGTTCTGGCTTTTTCGGCTTCCGGACGCTCCAAGACGGCCCAAGAGGCCCCCAAGACCGCTCCAAGACGGCCCACGAGGCTCCCAAGACGGCCCCGGAACGGCCCAGGAGGGCCCCCAAGACGGCCCAAGTGCCGCCCAAGACGGACCAAGAGGCCCCAAGACGGGCCCAAGAGGGGCTCAAGAGGGGAACCGAGAACTGAAAAATCGAGCCCTCCGCCCCAGAAGGCGCCCAGGAGGCCCCAAAAAGGCCCCAAGAGGCCCCCAAGAGGCCCCCAAGACGCCCCAAGAGGCGCCCAAGAGGCCCAAAAGAGGCCCCAAGAGGCCCCAAAACGGCCCCCAAAACTCGGCTAGCCCACAACGGTGCGACAATATGGGCCGGCGGAATGAGCGAAGCGATTAAATAAGAGGAAGACGGTGAGTTCGACTTCCAGAACAACCCGACCTGGAAGTGTAGCTTCTGCAGGTGTGCCCGCACCAATGTCCTCCCAATCCAAGATAACTTTGCCAGCCGCAATGCGACTCCATGATCATACGTTTCCCTGTGACTCGATAACAATGATCAGCTCGAGCTGACTATCACGTGTATAAATTTACAGGTGTATGTAAACCCACGGACCCGTGAGCGTGTGTGAGACGCTTTTCCGTTCGAATCGTCCTCTTCGTCGTCGTCGTCGTCCCACTCCCCTACTCCCCCCTTTCCCTGGGCCCTCCATTTCAAGCGATCCAGCCAAGCGGAAACCAAACAACGTCGAAATTGATTCGAAGGGAATCCCTTCGCTTTGATCACTGGGGGTCCACCTGGGGTCTCCCTCTCGGCAAAGGATCTCAGGACCTCTCCCCCAGCCTCGGCCTGGCCTGGCTCCGGCCCCGGCCCCAACCCCCGGCCCCGGCCCCGGCCCTGGCCCCGGTCTCAGCCCCCGGCCCCAGCCCGGGCCCGGGCCCCGGCCTGGCCCCGACCCCGCCCCCAACAGAGAGCCAAAGAGGCTCCCAAGAGAGCCCCAAGAAGGGCTCCAGAGCGCCAGCGTCGTCGTCGTCGCCGACTCCGCCACCGTTGTCGTGGTCGCCCCCCTTCAGGGTCGGCGGCACCGGCCGTAAAGCCTTCCCAATTTAACTTAGACCACATGTACTTACTCCTTCTTCGTGCTTGCAACGTCATACCATTGCCCCTCTGGGCCTGTTACCCTGTTCCACGCCCGTTCCCTCAGCATGGGCGGGCGAACGTGCCAGTAACAGCAAGGACGACAAAAACCATGTACTGAAACTACTATTCGAGCTGCCCCAAGATGAAACTTGACACACGTGTTGGGCGCGAAAAGGGGCCCTTTCGTACGAGACCTACGTTGCATCACAGCAGCAATTCGGCCCCTGACTTTCGTCCTGGATTCGGTTCAGTGAAGTGATGAATTTCGGGGCCCTTACGTGGGGAAACAAAACATCACTTCACACATCTGGGGCCCCTGCGGCCTCAGTGGGCCCTGGGGCCCAAAATTAGTGACGTGATGGTGTTCGGGCCTCGGATTAGGGCCCCCGCAGGAACCCTTTCGGACCCAGACGGGAGGCCTTTCGGGTCCGAGAAAGGCGCATTCCCCCCCCCCCATTTGAGAGCCCCGCATCGACTCGCGCCCAAACGTGTTCAACATCTCATGTGCCGGGGTGTGCAGCTATTGCCCCCAGGGCGATCTTCCCAAGATCCCTGCAGTCGGACTCGATTGGGCAGGACACGCGAGAGGACACAAGACCCTTCCGAGGGCCACATTGCCGCAGGAATGTAGGAAGCATGGGTCGCGAGACACAGGACACAAGGGTACCCTTGATTTGGCAAGGTCGACCTACTAATCTGGGCCGACTGTACACCCACCGCCTTCCTTTCTCCGCTGCTCCCCTCTTGCCCCCTCGACGCCTGCACTCTAGACTCTAGAGAGCCCCTCTCCCCCAACTTGGCGCACTCAAAGCCCCTCCTCTTCCTGCCGCACCCGGCGTTCCCCACTCCCCCGTGCCCGCTTCCAGTCCCACTGCCTCTCAAGCACGTTCGACGCTCTTGCCGCGCTCGGGAGGCGCTTGGCAGGCCGCGGGCACCTGGATCGAGCCAACTTGTGATTTGCAATCGCCGCGTGACATCGAACTCATTTTGCGCCATGGTGCGAGCACTTCGCGTGGTAAGATGGGGAAGTGGAGGTAGTACGTATCTTCATGCCTGGACCGGTGCGAATATACATTGTGAAGGGAACAGTGCTGGTGGCGTATGTCTTCAAAGCAAGGGTGACTGGACGGTGCTTAGAGGAACAACGAACACATGGATGCTCCCCTCCAAAGGACGAAGCCAGAAAGATGTTACAATCGGGTGAGGATAAATCGAGAATCTCTGAGATCCGGCGGCTCTGGAGGATGTATCGGCGCCGCGGCCTTCTCAGAGCTTTCTGGGACGTTCTGAGAGCGTTCTGGAACCCTCTGGAACGGATTCATCCTCGTCCTAGCCCCGTCCGACCTCTACCCATTTTGGTGGCTCTCCCACCTCGATGCCCGACTGCAACAAAGAGCGCTGCCACTGGTGCAAGCCGGGCCGCGCTGCCGACCTCGGGGACCATCAGCCCAGACACCGCTATCGGTGAAGCATGCCATCAACGACTGCTCGTCGGTGAACTTCTCCCTGCCTCTCTGTCTCCACATTCTCTATTTCCATCTCACCATCGACCACGCCGAAGAGCGCGTGGTGGCCTCTAGAAGAGCTTGCTGTGGCCACTGATTCTTTGTATATGGTCTGTCCGGTCCGGGAGCTGCAGTCCAACCCTCATCTGTACGCGTCTGTGTTCAGCATTCATGTGTCGTTTCGTCTTGATGGTCATGCTGCGCTTTCCCTCTTGCGGCGATGGAATTCCCTGCTTGCCAACCATGGCTCCTCTTCCTTCTCTTCGCGAGGGGGATAAAGGAAAACTTGGAAACAATTCAAAGAGATCGACGTACAAACGATCAAATGTTACCACGCCCGACTACAGGAACCAAGTCAGGCCCGGTTAAGCGAGCCCCAAATAGAAACCGGAGTCAAGGGGAGTGAGCCTCATTGCGGGACCATGCCAGATCAGGCCGCTTTGTGACCACGGACACGCCAGCGCTGAGGCTGAACTTGGACGCCCGAAATGGGTACGGAACAAGTGGGTACGATGCCTAACAACAAACGTTGTCCAAAACCGACAACGGCCGCTGTTGGGCAGGCGTCTTGATGTCTTCAGTGAGTAACGTCCGCGGCGGCGCGGACAGCGAGTCTTGTTCAAAATGAACAGGAACTGCTGTTGGGCATCGCACCCATTCTTTCCGTACCCATGTCGATCGTCCCGACTGAGTTAAATCTCCCATCCCAAAGATGAGTGGCAACGATAGGGGGGGGCTGGCATAGGGGGATGCATCGACCTGGAATCGGCAATACATGGCCGATGGATCGGCGATAGGCCTCCGATAGTGAATGCGCACCTTCCTGGGCAGGTTGGGGCTATCGGGCCCCTATCGGCGATCAGTGGGCGCTTGGGGTCGATGCATCCCCCCCATATGCCTCTCCCCCCCCAATCGTTGCCCCCGAAAAGAAGGGGCAGGAGGAAAGAGGGAAGAAGGGGCAGGAGTCGACAGGGGGAAGAAGCTGACGAACCGCCTGCCCCGCTGGGAACCCCTGCAGCAGCAGCGCAGGAGCCCCTGCCCCTCCCCGCGCCCTCGCCAGACCCGCAGGCCGCGCGGCCGCCTGCGCGCCGCCGCCGGCTTGGACATTCAAGGGCGCGACCGGCGCGGCGCGTCCCGGGGGGGCGCCGGGCAGAAAAATGCGGGAGCTACTTCTGAGGGGGCCCAGGGACACACAAATGAATACACACACAAATCACAGGATTCCCCTAGTTGTTCCATATTTTAGGGGTTGCGTCTTCCCCCAAACTTCCCATAGTTTCGCATATTTTCCGGGGGATCGACGATTAATTGTGTCTGTGTTTTTCCCCCTCCTGAACCTCCCGCGGACAGGCACTGTGACGAAGATGACGTCGCGCCCGTGAAGGCGGGTGGCTGCAACGAGGTCTGGCAGAAGCAAGCCACAGATGTGCCTCGAGGCAGGATCGGGCTTTGGTGCCGTGGTGTTTCACATAATGGGGTGCCAATTTGCTCAGCCTAGTTTGGTCGTCCGAGTTCTCTAGGTTGCATGCCGTCGTCCAAGAGTGTGGATCCTGACAGAGGACCCTACCTCTTTCGAGCCTCGTTCCCAAAGAGGCCCCAGGACCGCTGCAAGACGGCTCCAAGTGGGATACCTCCGAGAGACCAACATCTTTCAAGCATTGTTAATATGTTTCGCTGATGCTTACCTTCTCGCCTTTTCGCTTCCGATTGGGCTCTGATGCGTCACTATTGATCCAACGCCGCCCAAAAGAGCCCAAAGAGGGACCCAGCAGGTCCAGGAATGCTCCAAGAGCGCCCAAAGGCACCCCTAGAGAGCTCCATGAAACAGTTTGTCGTGCTCAAGAGGGGCAACGCGAATCGGCGTTGCCTCCATTATGATCGAGGTCCTCGAAGATGGATCAAAGATAGCTCCAGAAGATGTCAACCAAACATGGCATTACACGGAGATCCGTACTACACGCAGAGGCTAGTGTACCATACGCCAGCCCCGAGGGCCATCTTGAGGCTACCTGAGCAATCACTTTTGGGGGTCCCACCCCAAAAGCAATGCCTGCACGGCCAGTGGCCTGCGCACATCGCCAATTACAAGCCATCAACGCTGCCGAGGACACGATCCACCGTGAATTACAAAGGCTCCTCACCCCTACTGAAACGATCCCCGTACATAACGAGGATGCCCTGCTCTTCACCTCCTTCGATGGCAAGCTCAGTAGTTGCACTCCAGGGTGTGCTCAGGCTGATCCCGAGCTTCAGCTTGATTGCTAAGTCACCTCGCGCCTACATTTTCCTGTTCAAGGCATCTCGCCTGGTGATCGGTTCTGGATGGGCCGGTGGGCGTGGCGTGAATAACGATGCTACTCGATAGTAGCATCGGTAACTGTAGAAACCTGACCGGACAAGAACGGGAAGCGTCGCTTTTGTCCACTAGGTGTGTGAAACATGCTCTGTTGTGTTGGTCTGCTGCGCAAATTTGTCGTGCCGTGCGTGCGTTTGCGCGTGCATGCGTGGAATCTGTGCATGTGCGTCCGTGCGAAATGGTCTGCAGCACTGCTCTTTTATGCCGTGCTGGTCTACCGTGCTCCTGCGGTCTGCGTGAACGTATGTTGTCTGTGCGTGTGTGCGAGCGCGTGCATGTATGTACGTGTGCCTGTGTGCGTGTGCCTGTGTGTGTGTGCCGCTGTGCAGCTATACGCACGTGCGCGCGCGCGCGTGTGTGTGTGTGTGTGTGTGTGTGTGTGTGTGTGTGTGTGTGTGTGTGTGTGCAAGGTGTGTGCTGGGCGAGCGGAACGGGGCGGGGCGCGAGACATGGCCGTTCGAATCGTAGCGGCGTGGTCGTTTGAACCGGGCGTGGCGGACTGAACCAAGGCTGAGACCATCCGGCAGACCACAGGAGCATGGCAGACAACAGCGGCACGACAGACCAGCACGGAAGGCCAGCACGGCAGACTAGCACGGCCAACCACAACAGCATAGCAGACCACAGCAGCAGGGTATACAATCAAGGCAGAACAGCACGGCAGACCAGCACGGCAACACACAGGAGCATTGCAGACCACAGCAGCACGGCAGACCAGCACGGCACAAGAGTCCGTAGCCATTTTGGCTCAAGGCCATGGAGCACCCGACGACCGCGAGTCGTCCGCGGCGCTCTGAGCGCGAGGGGCTCTGCGCTTTGGGCCTGCTCACGAGTGATTGTTCTACGTGCCTCGTGTGTCAGCCGCGAGGCCGCAGTTTTGGGCCGCGAGGCCATACGTCTGGGCCAGCCTTGCCATGGTGGCGGACGGACAGCCTGCTGGAGGCCGCTCCTGGGCCAGCGTCGCAGCGGGCGGCAAGGCCAAGGGCAACTGGAGCTACTGGGTCTGCTCCAGCGGCCAGTGCAGGGAGTGGAACTGGTGCACGCTCTGGAAGTGCCGCAGCTGCGGCCGAGTGGCCCCGCCTTGGGTCAAGGCTGCCCAGCCGCCCGCGGCCGACGCAGGCCAGGCGCCGCCCGTCGCTGACGCCTAGGGCTTCGTCGTCCAGCCCCGTGGGAGGAAGGCGAGGCGCCAGGCCAAGCGCGCTGCTGCCCGCGCTGCCAGCGCTGGGGCCGCCAGCCAGGCAGGCGTCAGCGAGGCCAGCAGCGCGCAGCCGTCGGCCGTCGAGCGGCACCGCCAGGAGGTCAAGCGCATCGAGGACTTCCTCGCGGCCCCTGGCGGGGCCATCGACGAGGCGCGCCAGCAGTGGCTGCGCGCGGCCCTCGACCGCGAGCGTCGCAGGCTCTCGGCAGCCGAGGCGGCGCAGGCGGAGCGCAGGAAGGCCGACATCCCCCTGCCCAAGGTGCCCCATGGCGCAGGCAACGCCTTGGGGAAGCTGGGCAGACAGGGGCGGGCCATGGAGCAGGCGCTGCTCAAGGCCGAGGAGGCCCATGCGGCAGCCATCGGAGAGCGCGAGGCGGCCATCGCACGCGAGGCCGCATGCGCCGAGGCTGTCGAGGAGTGCCGAGCTGCTCTCGAGGCTCACCGCGAGGAGCAGAAGGCCGCAGAGGCCAGGCAAGCCAAGGAGGTCGGCGCGGCCTTCGCTGGCACGGACTTGCTCGGGATGGTCTTCGGCCTCATCCAGCAGGTCGAGGCCTTGCCCCAAGGGTTCGCTGCGGGCAACGGGGAGGCCGCCTTCGCCGAGGTCGCCAAGCAGATCGCAGCGGCCCGCAGGCATGCACCCCCCGAGGCCCGGGGGCGCTCATCCTGGGCCGACACCCCCCTCGACGTCTCCGACGAGGACTTCGACGGAGAGGAGGAGGAGCGGGTGCGTGCGTCGTCGGCCCCCTCTGCAGCATGCTGCCGAGCGCGGCCAGGCTGCTCGGCGAGGAGAGGCGCGCGGTGCGTGGCCCTCAGCCCAGCCGCTGGCCAACGGCCTTGCCAACGCTGGGGGTTGCCCTCCTCGACGACCAGCTGCTGTGGCCGTGCTGCTGTGGGCCGCGGTCGGATTTGACGTCGATTCGGCAGCCCCGTGTTCGGTTGGCAGCAGGAGGGTCAGACGGCGCTTGAGTGCGCAGGAGCCTGCGGAGCGGGGAGCCCAATGCCTTTCCCTGTGCTTGGGCAAACCTGCGAGTGCGGCACCTGGCTTTGGGGGAGCGTTGAGGGCCGCCGACGGGCGGGTGGCCGATGCCCCTCACCCCCCCGCGCTCCCCGTCGAGGCCGCTGACGAGCGGGTGGCCGAGACCCTCGACGGGCGCAGCGAAGCCATGGTGCCAAGTGACCAGAGGACGAGGATGACGGTACAGGAGGCCTGCATTGGCAAGGCGAGCCTCGGGCCTCAGCCTGCCTCTGAGTCGGGCCCTCGAGGACCTTGCCCCCTGCGTGCTGGCCTGGAGGTCCTGGGCTGCAGCGGTAATGTCTGGAACAGGAGCGTAGAGGTCCTCGAGGCCTTCTTCCACGCCCACCAGTACTGGCCGCAGCTGGTCCTCCTTCAGGAGACGAGGCTGACCCAGGAGCGCCTTCCTGGGGCCAGGGCTCTGGCACGCCGCCTCGGCTACACCGCCTTCTTTCACGAGGCGGTGGCCACGGGCCAGCCTGGCCCGAACGCCACGTCGAGCGGCGTCGCGATCCTGGTGAGGGCTGGACTCCAGGCCGAGGAGTCCGCCTGTCAGCTCCCTGCGGCCCTTCGCCACCGCCTCATCGGCGTAGAGGTGGCGGCGCCGTCGGGCCTCCGCTTTCTGGCCTTGGCAGGGTACTTCCAGCACTCTTTGGGCCCGCGGGGGATCAACCTCGACCTGTTCTCCTCGGTCTCGGACCTGGTGGCATTATCGCTCGACTTGCCCTGGGTCCTCCAGGCAGATTTCAACATGGAGCCCGAGCCCCTGCAGGAGTTGGGCTGGCCTACTGCGGTTCGCGGGCAGGTGCTCGGGCCCTCGGAAGCGACCTGCTGCGCCCAAGGCTTGGAGCACGTCTACGACTGGTTCGTCGCGTCGTCCGACCTGGCCACTTGCGCGGCGTCCTGTACGACCACGCTCAGCGACTTCGGGCTGCACCCGCACTCTCCTGTGCTGCTGCGCCTCCAGGACGTCAGGATCGATGCCCTGGTCGAGGTGTCCTCCCGTCCTGCTCGGTTCCCAGATGTGGAGGCCAAAGGCCTGCGCCCCCGCGAGGACGCCCTGGTCCAGGCCTTCACTGTCGGCAAGCGCGGGAAGGTGTCGCAGAAGGCTGTGTCTTGGTCATGGGCTCAGGGGTCGCGCCCGACCTGTCTCTCCGTTGCCTTCGGCGAGTGGATCGAGGCGGCGGAGGGCACTCTCACGGGCATCCACGCGATTGCGCCAGGCGACATGTCGCGCTACCTCGGGCGAGCGGCTGGGCCCAGGACCAGACGCATGCCCTTCAGCGCGCTGGTGCAGCGCGAGGCCAGGCTGAAGTACAGCATGCTGACCCACCGCCTGAGGAGCTGCCTCTCGGTCGCCCTCCAGAGGCTTCGCGCCGAACAGGCCTGCAGGTGGCACCCGAACCACACTTGGTGGTATGAGCAGGAGGCGGCGGCGAGGGCGAAGCTCCTGGACGAGGCGGCCCAGGAGGTGACCAGTCTTCAGAGCGTGGCCCTCCCTGGGGTCTCCGACGTGAAGTGGGGTGACCTCGCCTACCACGCGGGGGTGAAGGGCTGCCCCACGGCGATCGCCAAGCTGCAGTCGTGGCTCCTGGCGTCCTAGAGGCGCGATGCCGCTGAAGGCGCTGCCGCTTGGCGCAGCTGGGCCCAGACGGCGGTGGAGAAAGGAGGCCGCCTGGCCCACCGCTTCTCCAAGGCGACTCCCACGCCAGTTGTCAGGGACGCTGACACTGGGAGGCCGCTCGTCGGCATGGACGCCGTGGACCAGCTCACGCGCACGCGGCAGCGGCTCTGGCTCCAGGAAGGCTTCTCCAGTGGGGTCGGAGCCCACCGGTGGGATGTTGGCTCCTGGACGCTGCCGCCCATCACCCTGGATGCCTTTCAGCAGGCGTGCAAGCGCTTCGGCCCGTCAGTGGGGCTGGGCTGCGACAAGTTGCACCCTCGCCAGCTCCTTCTGCTGCCAGTGGCGCTGCAGCTTCGCCTGATTGACATCCTCGCGGCGTTCGAGGACGAGCCTTCTTCGATCGTGGGACAGGTGGCGCTCGTGGTTTTTTTATCCCTAAAGCTGACGGAAGGACGAGGCCCATCGCGCTGCTCCCGTTGGCCTTGCGGCTTTGGTCTCGCCTGAGGCAGCCGAGCTGTGCCCGATGGGAATCCGACCACAACTTCCCCTTCTTTTGGGGCCGCGATGGCCGTGATTGTGAGCGAGCGGGTTGGATCCACAACTGCTTCGCGGGCTTCGCGATGGCCTCCCCGCATTTCGAGGTGGCCAGCCTATTCCTGGACACCCGCAAGTTCTACGAACACGTTCGCCACGACGTCCTCTGGGCGTCGGCCCAACGCTTCGGCTTCAACCTGAAGCTGCTGCGCGGCCCCCTCGCCATCTACCAGGCCCCGAGGATCGTGCTAGCAGGTGGCATGGCGTCGGCCCCCTTTGGGGCCAGTGGCGCAGTGCTGGCTGGCTGCGCGTGCGCGACGGCTGTTGCTAAGCTTCCCCTACTTGGAGGGCTCCTCGCAGCTGGGGCTCAGCGGCCTCTCGCCACCCTGCGCAACTTGGTGGACGAGGTCTCGCTCCAAGTTGTCGGCTCGGCGAGGTTGGTCGTGGACCAGCTCGCGGGGGCTAGTGGGGAAGTGCTGCGACACCTGCGGGCCCACCACCTCCCGCTCAACGAGGGCAAGTCTGTGTTCCTGGACTCGTCGGCGCAGGTGGCGGACGGCCTCGTGGCCAGCTGGGCCGCCCTCGGCTTCGAGGTCAAGCGCGGCCTCCAGGCCCGCAACCTGGGCACCGACGCCAACGTGACCCGCAGAAGGGGTCCACGAGGGAGCCGCCCGCGCTGTGGGGGCCTCTCCCGTGCCAGGCGGCTGCGTGCCCTGAGCTCGGCGGGGGCCGCGGTGGTGCACATGCGCCGAGCAGGCCCAACCGCCGCCATGCTGTGGGGCAGGACGGTCACAGGGGTGCCCGACGGCGAGTTGCACTCCTGGCGCCTGGCGGCAGCGCGCTCGGCTGGGAAGCTTCCCAAGGGCGCCTCCCTTGGGCTGAGGCTCGGGGCGATCGAGGTGAGCGCTCCGCCGACCTGGGCCCGAGCCCAGCCCTGGTGCGTGCCGCGGTGCAGATGGCAGCCAGCCTCCTTCAGACGGGCGAGGTGCCCCTGAGGATGTTCGCCACCTGCCTGGTGGAGGCCGAGCGCAGGCACGGCAGTGCCAGGGCGCCACGGGTGCACTGCAGGAATCCCGTCGACGCCCTTGCCCTCTCTCTGTCGCGGGTTGGTTGGCGTCTCTCGGCTGGGCACATCCTGCGCGCCGACGACGGCCACGCCTTGGACATGCTGACCATGGCCCCCGCGAGCTCGGGCTGCTGGCTGCCGCTGGTGCCCGCAGGGCCTCCGACAGGGCAGAGATGACGCGGCTTGGGCACGGAGCCGCCCCCTCCATGCCATTGTTTTGGGACGCACTCGGGCAGGTCATCGGCCCGCGCGGCAGGTTTAGCTGCAGGGAGAAGGCCGCAGTGGTGAGCTACCTGTTGAACGCCCACTGGCCGCAGACTCGCCTCTTTGCGCCTGGCGGGCGGGGCCGCTCTCGCTGCTGCGCCTGCGGCGAGGCGCGTGGCAGCCTCTGGCACAGGCTTTCCGAGTGCCAAGCCCTGGCCGCAGAGAGGGGGGACTCGCTGTCCGCCCGCCTTCTTCGCTGCGCCACTCGGGTGAGGCAGCGAGGTGAAGAGGCAGGGGGGGGGGGGGGCTTCTCCAGGTGCTGGCTGCCGCAGCCCCCGCAAACGGCCTGGAGGTCGGACGCGATGGCAGTCATGTGGGTGAACAGGCCTGCCGACGGGCTGCTAGGCGGTCGCCTCTACCTCGACGGCTCGGCGCTCGACCCTGAGTTCGAGTGCATCCGCAGGGCTGGCTGGAACATCGTGCAGTGCGACGAGTACGGCAACGTGCAGGCGGCGGTGCACGGCACGGTCCGCCTCGACCTGTGCCCCTTCCAGACGGCGAAGTCCCGCTACCTCGGGCCCTCGATCATCGAGCTCAACATCGGCTGTGCGTCCACGGTCAGCTGCTTGAAGCCCGGCAGGAAGTATGCGACGGCGGCCAACAAGCCTAACGCGCACCTGTGGTCGGCCGTATACGCCTGGCTTGGCGTGGAATCACTCAAGGTGAACAAGGTGGCGGTCCACTGCGCCGAGATCGATGTTCGCGAGGGCAGGATCTCGGAGGCGCAGTGGCGTGGGAACGCCCACGCCGATAGGCTGGCGAAGTCGGGGGCGGCCCTCCACAGGGCCAGCGCAGCTGCCAGGCGCGAGTTCTTCGGCGCGATGGAGGTCGTGAGAGAGCTCTCCAGGTGGATCGCGCAGGCCTCGATCGTCTGGCAGGGCAGGGCCTCCAGGGACTGCGAGGGCCTCCCTGAGGGCGACGAGCGAAGGACTGCTGTCACCTTCGCGGTCCCGCTGGAGGAGCGTGCTGACGGCCTGCTGGCGGCCCCCGCTAGCGGGTCGCGCGCCGCGCCCACCGCCGTGGAGCCCGTCGGGGAGCAGGCAGGCAGCCGCCCCGCCGCTGATGGCGCCTGGGCCTCGGCGGCGCGCGACGGCGGAGCGGCTTTGGGCGCCCTGGTCTTCGCCTTCGCTGGGCACGCCCTCGCGCGCGCCAGGTGCCGTGAGGACGGCGCCGAGCAGGAGATCATCGCGTGCACCAAGTGCGGGGCGTATGCGAGGCTAGGCGGGCGCTCTGGCTCGCAGCCCAAGCTGAAGGAGCGTTGTCCTGGTGCAACGGGCCCCCCCAAGTCGCTGCGGGACCAGAAGTCGCGGTGGGAGCGTGGCCTCCACCCTGGGGGCACGCTGCACGTCCGCAACGCGCGGGCGAAGGGGGCGGAAGCCCCCCGTCTTCGCAAGGAGGCCGAGGCGCCGCAGGGCCCCAGGGTGCGCTTCCTGTAGTGGCTCGGAGTCCAGCCTGAGGCCCCTGCAGGCGAAGAGCGCTCCGCCTCGGTGGCTGGCGCTGTCGGGGGCGGCGCTGGCGGTGCGGCCCCTTCCTCGACAGAGGCGCCTGTGGCGGCTGGCGGCGCCGCGGCGGGCGCGGGATCGCGGCAGGCCTGGCTGGGAGCCTACGGCCTCGATGAGGAGAGCCTTCAGAGCTGGGCCGCGGAGGCCGAGGAGGCCCGAGCTGAGCGTCAGAGCAGGAAGCGGCGCAGATATGGCGGAGATGGAGGTGATTGAGTCCTGGCTGGCCCCTGCCTTGGGGCGCTCGGACAGCGCGAGCCCGCGTGTGCCGAGCTCTCGCCGCTCCTGGCTGTGGAGCGCCAGCCTGCCTCTCCTCCTGTCCCCCTGCCCTTCCTTGGTGTGTGGGGCCCCTGGTGGCCGCGGGCCTCGGCGCGAGGGCGTGGAGATTATTGCGCCTCGCCTGCCTCGCCGTGCCGCCTGGGGCCGTGCAAGCATGTTTGGGGCGTCGCCCATCGAATGTTTGCATGTTGTATATATTCCAGCGCTTCGCGCTGATGCCCCTTGACGGGGGTCCTGAGCTGACGGGCCGAGCAGTGCCTCGGGGCCGATGCGCCCTGGAGGCAGCCTCCTGCGGCTCGTCTGGCTTTCAAGGGGTCCCTTGTGGCCCGCCCCCTGTCTTGGGACGGCCCCATTTGGGCGAGGGCCTCTCAGTGGGGCCTGGGCCCTGTGGGCTTCCTTTCAGCCTTTATAGGCCCCGCGTTACACGTTACAGCACGGCACAATACCAGAACGGCAGACCAAAAAAGCATAGCAGGCCACAGCAGCACGGCATACCAGCATGGCCGACCACAGGAGCAGAGTAGAGGACAGCAGCGCGGCAGACCAGCACGGCAGACCAGCATGGCAGACCAGCAAGGCAGACCAGCACGGCAGACCACACGAGCATGGCAAGCCAGCACGGCAGACCAACACAGCAGACCAGCACTCCGTAGCCATTTTGGCTCAAGGCCATGGAGCACCAGACGACCGCGAATCGTTCGCGGCACTTCGAGCGCGAGGGTCTCCGCGCTTTGGGCCAAGTGAAGCATCCTGCTCGCTCTCCTGTCCAGAGGTGTTTCGGCGCGCATCGCACTGCGCGGCAGGTGCCATGCCGCGCTCAGCCCCGGGCGGTGGAGGCGGTGGCAGCAGGTGCTGGATGTGTAGACGGGTGTCGCGGCTGGAACTGGGACTGGCGCAGCAAGTGCCTGGGCTGCGGGACGAGCGCGCCACCGTGGGGCCAAGGGTGCCGAGCAGGCCCAGCGGCCCCCGCCGCCCAAGCCCAAGGCCGACCACGGAGGCTGGGTGGAGCAGTCGCGGGGTCGCCGAGCCCGCCGCCAAGGGGCCAAGCGCGTGGGGCCACCAGGGCCGCGTCCCAGGCCTCGGCTGCCAGCAGCAGCAAGGCCAGCGCTGGGACAGGCGCGGGGCAGGGCAGCCGTTCGCCGTCCAGCGGAGGGTCCACTGAGGTCGGGCGATCCAAGCATCCGTCGAGCAGCTGGAGGCGCTCTTGGCCGCGCCGCCAGAGGGGGTCGACGGCTGCTTCACCGACATGGTGGCCAGCCAGCTGGAGGTCAAGCGCGGCAAGCTGGACAAGGCCCGCCGAGCTGCCGCCGAGGTCACGTCAGCTGGGCTGCACAGAG